AAAGTTTTGGAAATAAGAAAGTGACTCTAAATCTTCAGAAGGGGACTGGCCTTGCTGGCGTGGATAAGGTATGAGAATTGTGGTGAACCATCACCCAACTTATAAACATCAGAAGTATGTCTAGCAATACCAAGGGAATAAAAATAAAGTACAGAAAAAGTGAAGTAAAAATTATGGATGTATTAAGGAATTACCTCACATTTATTTGTTTCTTTGAGTTCAGTGAAGGTAGGACTGTTAAAATGTCACGTAGTTTTGCATGTTTTTAACAAGAGCGCGTGTACCTCCTCAGGTAGACCAAGTGTCTGGAAGGACCAGCACGTCTTAAGAGGATCTTGCAGGAAAATAGGATTTGCCATAGAAATTACCTTACTCTGTTGACTTTGGACAATGTTCCATTGACTAAGACTTGCCTTTCTCTTCGAACAAGAGAATTCATGAGCGGGAAAAGAAACTCTTATAAGGAGAGGGTAAAAGAATAAAACTGTTATTAATATGACTCAATATTTTTCTCTTTCTTTTTTTAAACTTCTGGATATTCCTCTTATCTCAAATTATTCCAAATTTTATTTTTCTTTTTATGGGTTTAAGATAGTAAACTCCAGTTTAAAGTCTCATTGTTTGTCTTGATGGTTTTATATATCTCTGATATATAATGATCCCAACAAACTGAATTTTACAAAGAGGAATCTTCATTACCTGTATCCCACGTGTGCCCAGCGCTGTGCTAGAGGCTGTAAAGGACACAGAAGTGGTGTTCTCAATCCAGTGCTGTTCCCTGCCCTGGAAAAACAAACAAACGACTTCTTCCTTTCTCTAGACGTTATCTGGTCCTCTAATATCTTATCTTAACACATTCTTAGTCCAACACTTAGACCAGGAAGCTTGGGATATGGCTATTTATGAAGAAAGGATTACTCTTGTTTTTCTCCAGTTTGGGGCTCTCTAAGATTGGAAAACAAATTTATCCCTTTGTCTAATATAAATTTTATTGAAGAGATCGAAACTTTTTTTGATTTCTTTGTGTTGCTTTTGATTGCTGTCAATTTTCCTCCACCCAAGAGTCTTTATGTGCACTGTTTGTTGCCAAGTAGACCACTCTTCTTCTCTAATCGAATTCTATGAGCTTATGGTGTGGTATGGATTCCACACCAGCCCAATTAATGAATTCACTTAATGTTGATAGCAACTTTGTAAAAAAATAAAATTTTTACATTCATTCTTGAGTTTGGTGGAATAAATTTTTTTTTTTTTTTTTTTGGTGAAAGGGAATAGAGGGTAATAGTCAATATAGCAGAGATACTGGAACTAGAACTGTCAGGTTCAAATCCTTGCTTTGTACATATTTTCTATTTGACCTTGGGCAAGTTACTTAACTGCTCTGTACCTCAGTTTCTTTATTTGTAAAATGTTCATAATAATGGCATCTATCTTATAGGGTTGTTACAAGGATTAAGTAACTTAAAATTGCCGAGGTGCTTAGAATGGTGCATGCCATTTAAGCACCACACAAGTGTTTTTTGTCACCTTTGTACCATCTATTTTGATTCTTGGGAAAGGCAGGGGCTAGTGCTGGGGAGGTCAGGTGTCCATTTGGTTGTAATGGTTCCTTGTAAATGGCTGCCTGGTTCTTAACAAAAGATTTTTATTTCAGTGTGGATTATGATGTTTTCCTCCTTGGTTTTTATTAGAGGGAAAATATTTTAAAGTTATGAAATTTATTGCTTACAGAATTACCTCTTGGTTAAAACTGGATTGGTTGAATATGGATGTTTAGAGACCAGTTATTGAAAATAGTGTTAATTTTTGCTCTATTTTGATTTTTTTTCTTCCTTAAACTCTGTAGTTGGCTCCAGTGTATGAAATCCCTATCTCCCTTTTTTTAACTTTAAATTATTAAACAATAAAGTGTAGATAATATCTAGTAACCTTTGGAGGGGTTGTGAGTAAAAGCTACTTATTTAAAACAAAACACAGAAAATAAAGTGCATATAGACCAATTGAAATCAGGGGCACATGCAATTGTTATCAGACCTGATCTAGACATTTTCACTAGCAGTTTGTTTTTAAACAGCACATATTCCCTTTATAATAGAATGAATGACAGGCTTCTGGAACCAGTGGAGCATTTTGGTTGATTGCTAGGAGGCCACCCAGCAACGATAGAGTACCAGTTTGTTTTTTCTGGAGAGATATTTCCAAACAATAGTCGTTTGGGAGTTATAACAGGCTTGGAAGTTCATATTGAAAAGGTGAATTTGACAAATGTATTATCATGGATCTGTTGATAAATTGAGTAAATTGGGTTTGATGTATTACTTTAGATAACTGAGTATTTGGGAGATCAAATGTGAAAAAACACTAATCAGAAAGAGTTACTTAAGTGCAAAATTTCCCCATCAGTTTCATTTTTTTACATGTGTGATTTTAAATAATTGACTTTGAAGTTCTTTAAAAAGTGATTTTTGGGTGTCTATTTTGTGTTCTTTTCATGATGTGTTTAACTTTGTATTTTAGCAAAACTAAAAAACAACCTCAAAATCTGACTTGTCATAAAGTTGCTTAAGAAATAGCACTAATTATATATATATTAAAAACAGGCAATATATTGTTCAAAAATTTTCTTCTGTATACTCAGTTTCTAAGTTTATGCTTTTCTTTTTCCCATAGCAATATGAAACTCTTTGTAAGTAGATTGATATTTAGATTGTTATAATTTTTCAACCAGAAATTATTAGATACTAAGGGAGACAAATATACTGAACTTGTAAATGTATTATGTTGGATTACTAACAATAGACCTAATTGATAAAAGTGATTTAATATATGTTGTGTTAATAGCTAAACCTCCAAAGCCCCTAATCTCCCATGGAAATATTGCTTTGTAGAACAAAATCCAATGAGAAGTTCTGGGATTCCAGAGTGAATTTGTACATTCCTTAGGGGCATTTTTGCAAGGGAGGTTGTTGTGTTTTAAAGGTAGTTGATAAGAGACCTGCACCACCAACCCCAGACCTGCACCACCAACCACCATCATGCATTAGTCTATAGAAGGTATTTGGGTGTACGTATTCCTGTACCACTCGGTACCACCATTTAGCCAAGCGAAGTTTCTGACCATTTGCAGCATACATTATAAATCAGGATGTCACTACCAGACAATCAGATTTGAACATTCCATGAACAAAGTAGCCTATATCCCCTAGGAATAGATCACTTAACTATGTTTATGTCATGCTGTTGATATGCCTGCCTTTACACAAGTCAGGATAGCACATTGTTTATTTATTTTGGGAGTAGGTAATTGATCTGTATATTTACCTAATTTGTGGTTAATTAGCCCAAAATTGAAATAGGTAATTTAACATGATTACTTAAATACATGAGGAAAATTCAATAATTATTCCAACTCCCCCCAGATTACTCCTCTACCACCTTGGGTTTGTGAAAGAATAATTTTGAGTCTTCTCCAAGTTGGGCTGGTGTTGGCTGCTCTCTTTAAAAAAATTTCCTACTTGGCACATTATGCATGGAGAGGTCACTGGTCAGATATTTGGGGAAACTCAAAGGATTTCCCACTGCCAAATTTGTCCCCCGGGGAGACCTAGGAAAATTGCAGGATATATTGGTTGAATGAAATGAACTTGTTTGTTATATTCTCTTTCTGGTATCACTAGGGGATATCACTGCCAGTTGGGAATGTGGCAAGTTTGTGCACGCTGGTTAGCTGTAGAGATTTTTTTTGTTTTGACTTTTTTTTTTAATTTGTTTGCAGAGATGAGCTTACAGACCTGGTATTTTACAAATTAAAAAACAGAAAGCCAAAATATTGGTCCAAATCTTAGAATGAGGGACCATGAATCGCTATATATGACTTAGTAATAAAAAGGCACTTTGAAAAAATACAGGGTGGGGAACTGAAACTGAAAAAAGCACAGTTAAGCATATAAAAAGTTACTCATGCTGTTATCAATCAGAGATAATCACTGTTAGCATTCTGGGCTTTTTCTATGCTTTTTTTCTCCATATGTGACTCCACTATAGGTAAAATTTTGCATCCTTGTCTTTGTTACATTATATTATAAATATTTCTCCAAATCACTTAGAAGTTCCTCATAATCTTTTTAATGACTTCCTAATATATCAATATATTGATATAAGAAAATTTAATCCTGTTTCTATTATTGGACATCCAGGAGGTTTGTAATTTCCTTTATTATAAATAATGTGATGAAAATCTCCACATGTAAATCTTTGTCTAATTCTCTGGCTAGTTTCTTAGAGAAAAAATATCTAGAAGTAAAAGTACTAAGTTAAAGAGTAAGCACTTTTAAAAAGCAAGATTTGTTAGTGCCATGGAGTCGATTGTGACTCCTAGTGACTCTGTGTACAGCAGAGTGGAACCCTGCCCAGTCTTTTTGTGCCATCCTCTCATCTTCCAGCGCTATATCAGACAGTGCTCTGCTGCTATTTGTGGGGTTTTCATGGCCAATTTGTTTTTGTAAGTGGGTGGCCAGGTCCTTCCTTCTAGTGTGTGAGGTCTGCTGAAACCTGTCCACCATGGGTGACCCTGCTGGTATTTGAAATACCGGTGGCATAGCTTTCAGCATCACAGCAACACGCAGCCGCCTCCGTATGACAACCAACTGGTGGTGTGGTTCCCTGACCAGGAAACGAACCCAGGCTGTAGTGGAGAGAGTGCTGAATCTGAAGGGAAAAAAAAAAAAAAATGCAATATATGTGCTGTCAAATTGCTTTCCAGATTGGTTACATCAAGGTACACTCTAGTTAGCTGTGTATGAAAATGACCTTCCTGCAGACCCCAAAACAAAGAATATAATCATTATAAAAACATTTTCCTAATTTTATAAATAATTTACATTCCTTTGATTACTAACTAGTTGAATAATTTTTTATTTTTATCAAAAATTTGTATTTCTCTGGTGAAATATCTGTATGGTAAATTGCTAAAATGGTTTTCTTTGCTTGTGGGATTACAGAATGTGACAGTGACCATTTTCGCTGTGAAAATGGACATTGTATCCCTGCATCCTGGAGGTGTGATGGGACTAGAGACTGTTTGGATGACACAGATGAAATTGGCTGTGGTAAGTGAGGAGGGGCCAAGCTAAGGTCTGTTTTGAGTAATATAAGTGCTTCATGGTGATTTCAACTGTAACAAAGAGAAAGAGTTGTGCTGTTAGTGATTGATTCAGGACTGGGCTCAAGTCTTTTGAGATCTCTGTGGTTGAATAGGCAACTGATGGCATTAATAATTGTTTCAGCCCCTTTTGAGGAAGTGGTTCAATTCACATCTTACCTTATCTCATGACCTTGATATGGATACAAATTTGTGAGCAGTTTTCTGAAGCTGATAAGTGACTTTTTCAGATTATTCATTCTGGAAATTTTGTGCACCAACAAGAGCAAACAAAAGCATAATGTTATCTGAACTTCTGTAATTTTTAACTCAAGGAGGAGTCTGTTTTTATATAAAAGATGTAGTATAACTTGCATGAATTATCATAAAGAGATCACAGAAGTGGCTAGTATGGTTTTATGTTTTAAAAAAATTATAGTTAAAAACATGATAATATTGTAAACCTCAAATTTAACTAATTATAAAATCACTTCCACATATATTTCTTCATTTAATTCTCTGAACAATATTCTGAGGTAGGTTTCAGATTAGGAAACTGAGAAGTGTGGAGAGTTAAGTCATTTATTAAAGGCCTCCCAGTTGGTGCACAAATCCCAGCCCTTACATCTATGGCTTTCCCAGCTTGCCATAGGTGATCAATCACACTACCCCATTTCATTCATTCTGATAGGTGAACAGACAAGGGTTATCATCCAAAAACCAAGAAAACAGATGAAAAATTTAATTTTGTTTTGAATTGTTGGCCATCCTATGGCACAACAGAACAGACTTGGGTGTATTGTTTGGATAACGATGTATTTGAAAATAAGAGAATGGTGGGAAATAGATCCTATACAGTTCTTCTCAAACTTCCATGCACAAATGGATCACCTGGGGAGCTTGTTAAAGTGCAGATTTTGATTTCATATGTTTGAGGTAGGACCTGAGATTCTGCATGTCTACAAGCTCCCAGGTGACGCTGATGCTACTAGTCTGTAAACCACACTTTGAGTAAGGGAGTAGTTCTATTTGTAGAGACATGATCATGTACTATCTATTTGCCTCCGCTGGGCTTACCAAGTTCGTTTTAGGTTAAATACTAGGAGCAGAAAGGCAAGAACAGTATATTCTGGGATGAAGGAATAAATGAACAGTTATACCAACAACTCTTCAGAGATTGTTATTACATTTCAATGTCCCATAACAATGATGATAACAACAATACTGATGACGATAGTGACAGCAACTAACATTACATGGCACTTTCACATACTTTATTTAACTTATTTTTTATAGCAAACCATGAGATAAGTATAGTCCCCATTTTATGATACATATACTGAGGCTCAGAGAACTTGCCAAAGATCCTAAAGCAAGTAAATTGTGGAAATAATAATTATTTGATTCTGGGTCTTCATTTCCAGATCTCATGGGTTTTCTAGTTAATCATGATGCTTTACTGTTAGTTATTACAAAACATTTTGAATAATTTAATAGAAACCCATAGTTAATTTTTATTTAAATTAAAAATCTAACTTAATTTTTTTTCCATCTTAACTTTGTATGTCTGTGTGTTTGGACTGTTTGTTTTATTCTCTGTATTTTTGTATTGCTTTGGATTATCAGTTTGTTGTGATGCATAGCTGAGATTATTTGACAGTGAATGCTGATTAGAGTCTACAGGTTCTAGTGTAGGTTTGTTTACTATTTGCCATCAAATATATTGAGCAGGAGCTGACATACATTGTTTTGAAATAAGCATTGCTTGTTGGTATCCTAGGGTGGATGTTTGACATAATGAGTCCTTTTCTGGTTTGTTTTAGCTCCCTCTTCCTGCCAGTCAGGCCAATTCCAGTGTCAGAGTGAAGGCGTATGCATCCCTCACTCCTGGGTGTGTGACAATGAGCACGACTGTGAGGATGGCTCAGACGAACAGCGTTGCCGTAAGTGTTTGCAGATGAATTGTCTTTTGGCTCTTTGGACACTTAAAATCTAACCTGTTACAGTTACAAAACACAATGGGATGATTCTTTATAAATGCCGAGTTGGGCCTTAAATGGCAAGGGAACCTATGCCAGCACTCTCACTCAGGGGTTGGTTGATATTGAAAGTGTGACTGTGCTGAAGAATGATAAATATACCCCAGCGATTAGGAAATGGGCTAGATTCTCAGTATTTAATTCAGATTACTTTACACTCAAGAAAGAAATGAAACATTTATTGGTGTTTACCAGGTGGGGTCCTCATTTGTGTGGTTGGCAGTTGGATGAGTCCTTTTGCTCCTGCAGTACACTCTGCGTTCAAACCTCCCACCCCTTCTGCCCCAGTATTAAACTCTCTTCTTTTCGACTGAGTGGAAGTGGAGCTAGTAGGTAGGTCTGTTGGAGGCATTGTTGATGTTTGCTTCAGTGACTGCTGATACAGCCACTATAGGATGAGCTGCAACAAGAAAGAAAATGGTAACAACGAGGAGGATCTTGGCAACTGCTGCATTCTTGTACAATGAGGGAGTTGAGGGAAGGATCTGGAAGAAACACTTAAATTCTAATTTCTTTGCGATCAAACTGGAAAAAAGTGTTCAAATGGGCTTGAAAATAATTTTGATTGAGAGGGTAGTCTTGGGGAAATATAAGATGGCAGCATGTAAGAAATATGTCTGTCGTGTATGATTTCTTTGCTTTTTCTTTTAAGGATATTTGTATAATTTAAAATCATTCTTGTATCAGTCGGGATGTTTTTGGCTGCAAAGAATGAAAAACACAACTCAAAAAAGTTAAGCAAAAAGGGAATTTATTGTCTCACACAGTAGGAAGCCTAAATGTAAGGTTGTTCTAGGGTTAATTAATTCCTGGCTCGATAACATCAAATTTTCTCCCATTTTTCTGCTCTGCCATCTTTAGCCTATTGGCTTTTCATGATTGCATAAAAGCTGCAGAAGTCCTGAATTTTTACGTTCCCATAATTCAACTTTAAACATCTAGAAGAGAGAACATCAACATCCTTTCCCTGTGTTTTTTTATAAGAAAACCCTCACCTCCCAAAAAACCCAAAAACCTTTTAGAAAGGCTGGGTTGGACTGAGATGGAAGTTGGAGAGAAGATATCAGGCTGTAACGAGCCACCTTAGACTCTTGACCCTAGTTGTCCTCTGGAAGAGTCCAGCTCTGATCATTGCATGGCATTCACCTTTGAGCCTCCCCACATTCTGCTTCATAAATGCACATCCTGCAAATCACAGCCATGTATCGTCATTCTGTGTTGGTTTTAAGATGTCAGTCAAGATCCTGCTGGCATTTTCACATAGTCATTGTCCACAAAGATCAAAGAAGAAACAGATGTTTTTGATGGCTACTTCATGTGGGAACTTCTTTAGTCATTAGATGACTAGCAATGGAGATTCCATGGCCTTCAGTTGGTCCTGGATGCATTTTATAAAAGGTTGAAATTTAGCCCAGGACTTTTGAGTCCAGCATTGAGTGTGAACTTTTTTCAGTTGGACCCCTAGATGCCAAGAGTCTTGTGAGGCAGAGAATAGAAATTCTTAAAATACTCATGGGTTTGACTTTGGTTTAAACCTAAGATGAAGATTGTATAATTAAACAGCCTGTTAGGGCTTGTTTGTGTTGGTCATGGGGTCTGCTAGCAGCTAAGAGATGGTGATCTTTGGGACAAATGTTTAAGGGGAAACCAGCAAACTATGTAGAGCTGTGGAGGGTGGTGGTGGTGACAAATTGCAGCCCCGAGAAAGGCATGAACAGGAGCTAATCAAGGCCAATCAGGAGCATGGCATATCCAGATCAGTTCCAGTTATGTGTCAGGATTTGAGGTGGAGTGGCAAAAGGGGATGACCAGATCTGAAAACAGGAGATGGGGGCTGGTGGTTCAAAAGTACTGAAGGGAGGAAGGAAAAGTGCCAGGCATAGTAGTGTGCAGGAAGAAATCCTTGTTTCCAGGAAATCTGTCTGGGCTATGATGTTCTCCGGCTGGCCTCTCAAAGGTCCTAAGGGAAAGGAAGGGTGACCTGCTGATAGTGGATACTCAGTGGGAACAGGATGGGGCTAGATTGTGAATCTCTGGAGAGCAGTGACTATGCTTTAATCAGCTTGCCTCCCTAAGGCTTGGTATTCTGTCTAGCAGATAGTAGGTTCTTGGTAAATGAATGTTGAATGAATGAATGATGGGTTATTTACCTTTTGGATAGATATGCCATTTTGGTTCCATTTTCCCTTGCTCCTCACACAGAGTAGGAAGAGAGCTGAGCTGTAGATTGTGATACAATGTGTGGTGGATGACCCCTTGCTAATAATAATACTTTACAGAGGGTATGGGAACTACTAAGAGCAACTGCCTGGGGAAAGAGACTGGAGATAACTTTATAGCAGTAATTTATAAGCAATGTTACACACCATTTTAAAGATTTTATTTATTTATTTTTTCCCCCCAAAGCCCCAGTAGATAGTTGTATGTCATAGCTGCACATCCTTCCAGTTTCTGTATGTGGGACGCGGCCCCAGCATGGCCGGAGAAGCGGTGTGCGCCCGGGATCCGAACCCGGGCTGCCAGCAGCGGAGCGCGTGCACTTAACCGCCAAGCCACGGGGCCGGCCCATGTTACACACCATTTTAAATGAATATGGATTTAATGTAATTCTTGCATTTTTAATGATATAAAATTCTTTATTAGACATCCTTTAACTATAAACAGAGTATGCCACCACTATGCTCACTAAGGTCACAGAGAACGCCTGATTGTCAAATACAGAGGGCACTTTTCCTTCTCCATCATACTGGATGGACTTTTCTATTGCACTTGACTCTGGTCATCACTCCCTCCTTCTTGACACTACTATCTTGGGTGCCCTGACTCCTCACTCTCCTGGCTCTCTTCTTAACTTCTTTGATCCTTCCATTTTGTTTTCCTCTTCTGTCTACCCAGCCCTTGAGTATTGATGTTGCTCAGAGCCCTGCCCTTAGCAACTCTTCTCATTCTATACACTTTCCCAGGATAATTTCAACGATTCTCATGGTTTCAATAACCCTCTATGGGCTGATAATATGCAAATCTGTGCTTAGGACCCAGATTTCCTGCCCACATTTCGGTCTTGTATATTCAACTGCCTGTTGGACATCTCCAAGATACCTCTAACACAAGGTGTCCCAGGTGGAATTAATCATCTTCCCCCCGAACTAGGGAGAATATAGAACTTTTTCCTTCTGTATTTTCTGGTCTACATATGTTACCTTTATTATAGAAATAAAATTAACCCACTATAACGTACTAGAAGAAAATACAAAATCAGTCTCAAACTCTCAGAAATAGGCAGATTGAGGCCGTTTTCCGTGTTAATCTAGAATTTCATGAAACATGTTACATAGTGAAAGCATTTTATTAGATGCAAAAAAAAAAAGATGGCTGTAGGTGACATCAAAGATGTATTCAATTAGCATGAAAACAATACCACAATTGCCTAGGTTCTCAAGCTAGAAACTTGGAAGTTATTCTTGATTCTTTCCTTTCTTTCACTGCCCACATTTAATCACCAACTCTTTAAATGAACACCTGTAAAGTTCAGCTCTCTCCTATTGATGCCATCACTGCCAACATCTCTCATCTGAGTGACTGCCTCCCTAACTCTAGTTCTGTGCCTCCTCAGGTTCTCCCTGACACCGATGCTGGAAAGATCTAACTAAAACCCTCTGGTAGTTCTCTATCACCTCAAGGAGAAAGCTCCAACTCAACATGGTTTACAGTGGCTTCTAAGGTGTGGCCAGTGCTTATTTTTCCGTGTCTATCTCTTGCCATTCCTGCCTTGAAATGTCCATATGGGCCACAGCAGTGCTTGTAGTTCCCTTGGGCGTACCAAGGGAAATGGGTGTCCCAACCTTTCACCTCTGCATGCTGCCCAAATGCTTGTTGCTAGACAGTCCTTTCCTTTTGACGTAGCTAATGGCTGCTGTTCCTTTAAGACCCAGGTGAGATGTTACCTCCTTAAGGAAGCTGTCCACATTCCCATCCCAGAGTGAATTAGGCACCCCTCCCTGAAGCTTCCATAATTCCTTGTGTGCCTATAATTCACTTGCATTATTGTTTTCTAATTATTTCTTAAAGTCTCCCTCAGAAAACTATGAGCTCCTTGAAGGTAGGGATTGTGCCTTATTCATTTTTATATTCCCATTATTGGTGTATTTGTGGCACATAATAGGCCCTCAATAGGTGTTTATGTAATGAATGAATAAGTGAATTCCAGCATTAGATTGGTTGATAGAACTATATAATTTTAATTTGTCATTTCTCTATGTTTGAATGAGTTTTTAATTGCTTCCTCATAAATGCTTTGAAATTTTAAGTACAAAATACAGAATTGATTTGGGCTTGAGTTTAAGAAGAAAGCCAAGATAATTAAAATAACATGGGCACTTGATTTGGTTTCTTTTCATATTTTTTTAGCACTACTCATGACTTGCCTTCTCAGGAATAAAAGAAAGCTCTTTAATTTTATGTGGAAATTGGCAATATATACTTAATAAATTATATGGGAATTTAATGAAGAAATATTAATCTTTTTAACCTTATTCAGATACAATTATGTCTCTGCTATGGGCAGAATTCAGACATTTAAGTGACTTTTAGAAAAGTTGATCTATTCTAAGTTTATTAATAGAAGTAGAATTTAACATACAGATATAAGGTACTGGGAGAATATATGAAATCATACTGTCAAAGTGTCAGGAATAGGCTGACTGGAAAAATTTTATTTGCTATTCAATAATTACATGACACCTTCATAATGAAACCATTTTATTAGTTAAACAGAAAGACGGAACAAGATGACAAGAAAGATATAATCAATTAAGCATGGAAAAGGGTAGTAATTATGGTTAATTTTTTACATCTTATTTATCATATGGTAATCTTTATATGAATTTTCAAGTGCCAGCTCTAATGCTGTGATTGTCCACTTGTCTTTTAGAAAAGTTTTTCTTGTTAAGTTCAGATGGCACATCTCTTAACAGATATGTAATGTCATCAGAAAACCAAATTTTTCTGAACCTAGGTAGCGAGGGTTAGGAAACTGTAAAAATTCAGGGGAAACCTTTTTTCTTCCATTTGATGATTATATTATTTTTTAGTGGATCACATTTTTCCCAAATGCTTCTCCTTTTAGGTGAACAATTAAAAAAACCCCGTGGTAATTCCTGTTTCAGACTTAAAGAATAGCATTCATGTGATGCTTGTGACATCAGTTCATCAGATTTTATCTGTTTTATCCAGAGGCAAATTTGCTAAACTACTGATGCCTTGCTTTCACCTACCCTAATCAACATATGATAAAATCAAGCTAGCTTAAGTTTCTTTCTTCCTGTTTATAAAATTGACAAGTGTTCAACGTAGAAAGTTTATATAACAGAGAAAACAGTAATAAAAAAATAAAATCACCCATATTCCTACCATTCAGAAATAACCCCTGTTAACCCTTTGGCATATGTCCTTCTTGTTTTTTTCTTTTTTGTAGGGAAGATCAACCCTGAACTAACATCCATGCCAATCCTCCTCCTTTTTTTTCCTTTTTTCTCTCCAAAGCCCCAGTAGATAGTTGTATGTCAGAGTTGCACATCCTTCTAGTTGTTGTGTGTGGGACACCGCCTCAGCATGGCTGGACATGTGGTGCGTCAGTGTGCACCTGGGATCCGAACCCGGGCCGCCAGCAGCGGAGCGTGCCCACTTAACCGCTAAGCTACGGGGTCGGCCCTGTCCTTCTTGTTTAATTTTATTTGTTTATTTTTTCCCCCAAAGTCCCAGTTGATAGTTGTATATCACAGCTCCACATCCTTCTAGTTGCTGTATGTGGGACGCAGCCTCAGCATGGCCGGAGAAGCGGTGCGAAGGTGCGTGCCTGGGATCCGAACCAGGGCCCGCCAGCAGCGGAGCGCGTGCACCTAACCGCTAAACCATGGGGCCGGCCCTGTCCTTCTTGTTTAAACAAGGATTTCAGTGAGGAGGACCGTACTAATCCTTGCTTAACACCTGTATCTGCAAAATTCTTATTTCATTCATTCTCTTTAACATATAGGTTTTCAATCTATGTTGTATTCTCAACACATGTTGATAATATAATTGCATACACTAATATACTTGAGTGTTGATTTTGTTCTGTGAGCGTTTTGATAGTATCCTGATAATTAATACCTTTACTTTTGCATTGTAGTCTACCTTGGGGTAGGTGGGTACTCTACCTCAGGACCCTATGAACTTTATATTCAATATAGGCTTTACTTGCCTTTGCTTTCGAATTTCTTCATTCATATTTGGTAAATGTCAGTGGATTAGTCTGTGTGTGGCAGTAATTATAAAGTAATATTTTTTCCCCCTCACAGCTGGGAGAACATGCTCAAGCCATCAGATTACATGCTCCAATGGTGAATGTATCCCAAATGAATACAGGTGCGACCACACGAGAGACTGCTCAGATGGAACTGACGAGAAAGACTGCCGTGAGTCCCGTTCAGTCTTTGCACTGTATTTGGTTTCACCTTTGTCCCTTTGGCATTTTAATCAATTTGTTAGATTTGTTGATGGACAGAAATGCCTACAATATGCCTCTTGTTATTGAAATCTCTTGGCAGATTCTTTTGAGGATTAGAGGTGATGTTCTGATAGGAGTCTATTTTTAGCAAGACATTCTAAATGTGTCCTGCCTTAGCACATCAAGTTTCTGTATTTTTTGAAGTAAGAAACTTTTGACATTAACATAGAATCCTGAAAGGTCATTGAATACCTCAAGTGCAAAATCCAGTTTGGTCAATGTTAACTTTTATTACATTATTATGGTAAGTTTGTAGGTCAAATGTCTCATTAGTTTTTCTGCTCGTATGGACTGAATATTTTCCAGATTACTTTTGGAAAACTGTTACATTTTGAAAATGGCTTTCTCTGTAATGGCAGCATACTACATCAGTTTGTAACTGAACGCCACAAGATAAGGCAGAGAGATCACTGTGTTCTATGCATAATGTTTAAATATTACCGCAACCAAAAAAAGAGAGTGCAATTATGGTCTGTGATGTACTTCTTATAAATAAGTAAAGAGTAATCTGCCTCTCTTGAGGTTTATATAGAATTGTTAGAATACAAGAATATAGGAATTATTCTATTGTGTCAGTCCTAATGTCCATCTAACTCTATCTTAAGTCTCAGATATAGCAAAAAAATCCAGTTTCTTTCTTTTTTTTTTTTTTGTGAGGAAGATCAGACCTGAACTAACATCCATGCCAATCCTCCTCTTTTTGCTGAGGAAGACCGGCCCTGAGCTAACATCCATGCCCATCTTCCTCCATTTTATGTGGGAGGGCGGCACAGCATGGCCTGACAAGTGGTGTGTCGGTGTGTGCCCAGGATTCGAACCTGGGCCGCCAGCAGCAGAGCACATGCACTTAATGGCCACGCCACGGGGCGGGACCCTTTAGTTTCTCTTAAAAGTCCTTATAAGTCTATCATTTTAATTTATCCAGAACTTCCTTGAGTTTTTATACATTGTTTTCCTGGCATTCCTTTTGCTATATTGCATTTCATGAGTGTAGTATGAGCTGAGTGAAGTTGCTTCCTTTCCTTTGCTCTTTTATGTTTCAAACTTCAAGGAGTTATTTTAATATTCCAGTATTCCGATAATCAGTGGATAGATTTTGTATACCTCAGAAATTTTGATCGTAAACTTCCTCGTTATTATGTCTCCAACTAAAGATTTAAGTGTTAGTCTATTCTCATGGGACACCTCCTCTACTATTAGATCATTTTGATTTAATTTTAGTTCTCTGGACTGTTCCTAAATTCTTGCCTTTGGTCCAAATGGTGTATTTTATGCTTCTTGATGAAAGAACCATCTTCTGTGTGTTTTGCTACACTTCCAAATATAGTGCCATGCCTAGGGTGGGAGCTAGCATAAACTGGTCTGAGCAAATTGTTCCTCTTCACTGTACTGTTCAAACTGTACTCTTAATGGAAGAAATACTTGTATATGTGAAAAGGAAAGACCTGGGCCCAAACATGTCCAGATTCATGCTACGTCCGCACTGTGATCACATGGTACATTTTAAAAAACAACACTTCCCCGCTAATGCTTTCCTCCCTCGTGTGTTATTTTTCTTTGAGAGGAGTCTGTGCCATTTGTCTTTGTATCTCCATTTCCCGGCAGAGTTCCTGGTACAGTTCTCTGTGGTATAATTTTTAACTTAAATGTTCTCTTTTGAAAGAGATTATGTTGCCCCTAATTTGGGTCTCTTTTCACTTTGGAAATTTTATAGAGACTTTAGAGTTAGTAGTGGCTTTTTTTTTTGCATGTGTGTGAGAAAGATTGTCCCTGAGCTAACGTCTGTTGCCAATCTTCCTCTTTTTGCTTGAGGAAGATTGTCCCTGAGCTAACATCTGTGCCACTCTTCCTCTATTTTGTATGTGGGACGCTGCCATAGCCTGGCTGGATGAGCGGTGTGTAGGTCTGTGTTCAGGATCCAAATCTGTGAACCCTGGGCCGCCGAAGCAGAACATGAGAACTTAACCACTGCGTCACTGGGCCGGCCCCAGTGGTGGCTTTTTTAGAGATGGTAGTGTGTGTCTGGAAGTCACAAAATAGCAAGTCCATAAGTCAGGGACTCTTCTTTCAGTACTTAGTAAAGCAAACAATAGGTCCTTCACTGTGGCAAGTGGAGAAAATATTTTTGATTAATAATAGTGATAAATCATGCATTATATTTTGCAATATTTCATAAAATTCAAAGCCTTATATAAATTTCAGTCGTTATTCTCATTAGGTTCCTCAGTGAGGAAAATAGAGCAGGTATTATTATACTTTCTAATGAATACAGAAACTAAAACTGCAAAGGGTAGAGTGGTTTGTTCAAGGTTGTGTAATGTGTGGCAGAGCCAGCGCTCAACCCATCTTCTGGTTCCAAGTCTGGTGATTGCTCTTCATGAAGGACTTTATTTATAGAAGGATAAAGTCCTACCTTGTGCAAGTTTAAGAGAGAACCAGAGGCCTGTGCTACCAGCTGTCTGTGTCTTTATTCCTTATTTACAAGTGGATAAAAACGAGTGCTTTATTGCAAATGCAATGGGACTGAAGGAAATGCTACTTTTGGGAAAATAAAAGGCAGCCAAAACAGACTGTCTGGATTTATTCCATGTGAACACCCTGCAGCCAAGTCTAAAGTCACCAGTACAACTGCCTCACGACTTTGCCAATGGATCTTCCAGAAAAAAGCTGGCAGAGTACGAGCTTGCAAGCAGCTGTTATAGAAAGGAATGAAGGCAAGGAAGTGAGCTTTATAAAATATCTGGGCAGGAATTTTTAATCAAGTTTTTTTTTTCTTTTTTTAAGTGATTGGTGAAACAAGGATTTGTTAAGGAAAGAGAACCAGATTTATAGCTCATTGTTTCTGGAATCATACAAATCATCAATCCTTCAGGGTTCATGGCCCTAAAGTGAATCTCACACATATAAGGGGGTTTTACAATGAGGTATTTCCTCTTTCTCACTATCTTGTTTATTTATCAATATGTGTTATTTATGGAGGAGTGTGAAAAAAAATCTAATAAATCACAGGAAATTAAGAAAAGAATCTTCATACTTCCTTGTTAGTACTTAGATCTCCTGGCCACAGCCAGATTCATACAAGAAGGAGGTGAATGGCCTGGATGAAAGTCTTTAGAAAGTGCCAGTGTGTGTATGTGTGTGGGGGGGGTGGTGCAGGGGGACAGGATTGCCCTCGTTTTGTTTTCTCTGTTTGTTTGGTGCTCTTGTGGGAAGTGGGAAAGGGAACTGCCATTCACGGTGCACCAATTGCTAGCTCACGCAACTTTCATGTCAGTATTACAAAGCAGGTATGATGACCCTCTCCACTTTCCAGAGATTATCAAGATTGTCAAGAAGCAAGGGTGGAGGAGCCAGGATGCTAACCTGGGTCTAAACCCTATGCCCATGCCCTCAGAATACTTTTCTCTGGTAATGGAAGTTTATACAAAGTATTTTTGGCTGAAGGTTACTTAGCTATTTTATTTTTTTTAAAAATTGTTGTTTAAAGCTTATTATTTTGGAAGGTTTTAACCATAATCAAAAGCAGAGTGAATTTTATAATGAAGCCCTTTGTATTCATCATTCAGTTATATCAATTATCAACTCATAGCTAACTTTGTCTTTTTATTCTTTTCCCCATTATTTTGAAGCAGATCCCATACATCATATAATTTTGTCTTTAAATAATTCAGTATTTATCTCTAAAATATAGAGACTAAAACATAACATAGCACAGCAATATCATGGTCACACCCAAAAATCAATAACTGTTCTTTAAAATAATCAGACATCCAGTCAGTTTTTAAAATTCCACAATTGGCTTGTTATTGTTTTTTACAGTGTCATTTAAATCAAAATCCAAATAAAATCTATACTTTGGAATTGGTTGCTGGCTTTCAATGTGCAGATTTGCCTTCCATTTCTTTTTTTTCATCCCTTGCAATTTATTTGTGGAAAAAACCAAGTCACTTGTCTAGAGTTTTCTACAGTGTGGGTTTTGCTCATTGCATCCCCTCATGTCCTTTAACATGTTCTTCTGTCCCTTGTATTTCCTGGAAATTGGTAGCTAGATCTAGAGCAAGGTTTTTCAACTTTGGCACTAATGACATTTGGAGCCAGATAATTCTTTATTGTGGAGAGCTGTCTTGTGCTTTGTAGAATGTCTAACAGTATCCCTGGTGTCTATCCATTAGAAGCCAGCAACACCTCTCAGTTGTGACAACTGAAAATGTCTCCATACGATGTTAAATGTACTCCGGGAGCAAAATCCCCCTCCCCTGCTCCAGCTGAGAATAGCACTAGTCTACTGGCTTGACCAGATACAAGGATTTGTGTGTGTGTGTGTGTGTGTGTGCGTGTGTGTGTTGGGGGCGAGAGGGGCAACAGCACTTTGTGTATAAAGATATATATATATTTCCATTAGGAGGCACACAATGTCTCTCTCTCTCTTTATGATGTTAGCAGCCATTGATGATCATTGCTGAGATCCATTTAGTCATAGAGGTACTTAGCTATTTCAAATGTCACTTCAGATAGACAGCAACTGTTTATTAGTTGTTTTATGTGAGAATGTTCCCACACGATGAAGGATTAAGTGAGGCTTGGCCGGAAGTCCTTTTCATGAGACATGACACATTATTCCATTGTTTATGCAGTCTCGATGCATAGGAATCATTATTTATGGGCAAACAGAATCAGCCTATGAATATGACTTTTACTTTTCTATTTCTCAGAAATAAGGTTGTCTATAGGAACGGGTCTTAATACATTTAGCATGTAGTCACCACTTAAATATAGTAATGGATGTTAGAAAAGCTCCAAAGCAGGACTTAATTCTTTTTCCTGAATATTCGAAAGGATCAGGAAGTTTGACTCTGTGCTTCATAGTCCTGCCTGTCAGATCAGATCCCTAGGTTATAGTCTCTACCC